ATTTAATTTAAAAAATTAACTTAAATTACTTTTTTGAGCAGCGCTATTATCATTATTGAGAAATTCATTACCAAAATTTGCATTCTTTTCATTTCCTTTTTTCATTTCTCACTTATTTTACGGAAATTATTCAACAATTCCCAAAAATACTGAAATTTTATCTTTTAAAAGGATAAATGTTTTCTTTTTGTCTAAAAAAAGATTCGGCTTTAGATATGAAAATTTGATGAAATGCAAAATGAGAATTATTGGAAAAAAGTTAAATTATTTTGAAAAATTTCCTCAAATTTTCTGCTTTAAACTGGAATTTCTTTTTAATCTTAAGAATTTAGCATTAGTACAGAAAGAAACGATTTGACCTGTCTTTCAGTTTCCTTTGAATGGTAAAGTGGAAGCAGGAAATGAAATAACGCTGAACTTCAAAAATTATAATATAACAATAATCAATGGAAAAATTTTTACGAAATTTATATTGCAAAAAAAATATTTCATTTCACTATAGTGCACAAAAATTTTGGATAAAAAATTTTAATTAAAAATGATTGATAGCAAAAAAAAAAACATCCAAAAGTTTTCGATATAAATGCAAATAAAAATTATGCAAATTTTGTAAGAAAAATTGAAATTAATTTTTAACTATAATCAATTAATTGCATTTTTAAACAACTGTACAACAAAATGATTGATAATTTGAAGGAATTTTTTTATGACACATCATTTTAATGAATATGAAAAAGATTTACTACTACGTTTCATGTTCCATCTATTCCATGCCTAAATGTTCACCTAAATATTTCTGCCTCATTCCCAAATATAAATTAATCAATCAAATAATTAAGCTAATCAAAAAAAAATCAAATAATTAAGCTTAAAATCCGCCGATTTATGTTTAACATTTCTTTTGCAAAATCATTCTTTCCCATAACTATCTTGCAGTTAATCAAATTGCATCACAATATGTCTCCATTAAATTCATTTTACTTAAAAATTTGAACACATCAAACGTTCTTAAGATCAAGCAGAAATTACGGACTAACATCTAATTTGCTATTATTCATCCTCAACTAACTGCATCACTTGCATGTTTTATTTTTGTTACCGAAATTATTCGCGTAAATTTCCCGACAAAAGAAAATAAATGTTTAAATTTCTGTGCAAACCAACGACTCAGGCAATCGACAAAACTTTAGCAACAACAAACTTTGAAAAGAATTGTCAAGAAATATTTGAAATAATTTTAGCCAAAAAATATAGAAATTTCTTAATGATTCATCATTATTTATAATGAATGTAAATGATAGTTTACAAGTACTTCCTATATTTGGCAAAGTGCTGTAAGAATGATAATGGGTAATATTTTGCAATGGTATTTTTCAGATGATAAGATGATCTCTCAAATTTTATAGCTATCAAAATTTCACACTCACATTGTTTGTTTGATGAAACTACTTTCAACCGGAAATTAGATTGAAAAATTGACAAAGTCATCAATAGAATTAAATTTTGCTCAGTAGAATTTGTCGTCTTATATCAAATTAACTTGGATTTTATTTCTGAATTTCATGAGAATTTCGAGAAAATAGTGACAGTACTATGTACATGTGGTAATGTTTTATTATTCCATATTTTAGCATACCAAAATGACGACAATTTTTGGGGAAAAAACAATAACTATTGCATAAAGTATTCTGACTATATTATGGTATACTATACCGTAGTATAGTAAAATTTTACATGCCATAATATAATATAACTTTCAGTATAATTGAGTATAATATAACTTTCAGTATAATTGAGCTTCGAACTGATCGTAACATTATCAAATTTGAATTATGCATCAACTCATTCAATATCTGCTCTGTTTTTCATTTTCTCTTAAACAATCTGCATTATTTTCTATCTTTTTTTCTCAGAAATATATGTAAAATATTCGATTATTATGTAAGCTTGGCATTATCAGTTTTCCAAAAAACTTTCACCATATTCCCGAATAAATCAATAAATCTATTTTTTAAAAAAAACGGACTTTAGACAGCCAATTTAAGAAATAAGAAAAGTAAGAGGATATTGCGATAAGTCCAAAATTACCCTGAATTGCTCAGCGATCGAGATTTAAATTTCATATCAATCTTGATTATGATATATTTCGTTTATCCTTCATCATTTCATTTGCAACCTATTTCGATCGGACAGTTATTTCGTTATCATTTATTTATGTGTCATATATAACAACTACCGTTTGGTAATAATGGACAAAGATTTCAGTTTAATCCCATGCTTATCCGCTCTTTTATCACTTATCAGTCAGATTATGTATCCATGTATAGAAGAAAACAAAACTTTACTACAGTATTTTCTTGTACTATAAAATTATCACATGAAAAAAAGAAAGACAGATAAATTATTAAGAAAAATCAGAAATTATAAATGAATAATACAAGCGAAAAACATAAGAAAACTACAAAAATTATCAAAAAGATTAGCAAAGTACGGAAGTTTTATGAGCAAACTATTTTTTGTTTTCGGAATCGTTTAACGGATCGTCAAATAAATGCAGAAGATTACTTCGTCGAATTGTATGACGATTTTCATCATTTGATAGAGGTTGTCGATCGTCCACCAGTGATATTGCTTCATCCTTAGAGTAAATAATTTGTAGGTAGCCAAGATAAAAAGTCTTCTAGCAAATTTTGCCTAATAATTTGAATAGAAATTCTACAAATCGTGGAATTGATAATGAATTAATCCATAAATCTTTGAATTTAAAAATTGTGAAATT